TTCCTGATACAAGCCAGGATGCCACTGGCCCTCTTGGCCACCTGGGCACACTGCTGGCTCGTGTTCAGGGGGCTGTCAACCAGCACCCCCAGGTCCTTTTCCACCAGGCAGCTCCCAGCCACTCTCCCAAGCCCGTAGCTTTGCCTGGGGTTGTTGTGCCCCAAGTGCAGGACCCGGCCCTGAGCCTTGTGGCCCCTCACGCAGTTGGCCGGTGCCCATCGGCCCAGCCTGGCCAGTCCCCGCTGACCTGCGGTGGAGAACGTCGGTGAGAGAGAAAAGGGGCCCGGGGCAGAGCCAAAGGAGTGTTCCCCGGGACGGGGATGGCAGCGAGGACTGACCTTGAATGTCCTGACCCCTGTGCGAATCGTGATGTCCAGGACCTCACAAAGATGTTTTAACCCCTCCAGCGCACCCACCCCGCGGGTGCTTTCGTTCGTTTTTACGTTGCCAGCAGGTCTCTTCCTGCGTTAGCTCAGCACAGAGGTAATCGAGACCAGGGGAGGCTGAGCAAAGGCCCCCCCAAACCAGCAAACGAGGATTTGCCTCACAGAAAGTAACACAAAATCTGCCTGAGGTTAACGCGCTCTCGTCCAGGAGATGGTAGAAGTTCCTCGGAGCGGGTTATTGTTCCGCCAAAGGGGAGCTGCAATCACAGAGCCCTCGTTTGAGAAGAGCGAGGAGACCGAAATCTGCGCTGCTGGGTTTACGCAAGCCTTTCTGGAAGGAAACGAGGGCGTAGATCAGTTACAAAACCTCCCCGCTTATTTGTGATTAACTTGAAGGCAGACTTTTAAATCTTCATTAGAAAGAAACGCCGTCTTACTCGGTGGCGTATGAAGTGTTACTGGTTCGGCCTGCCTTTGCTTTGACAATCTTGAACAAATGTACCCAGATGTCAAGGTCACGGTAACTCCTGCATAGTTCTTAGTTTAATACCTAACCGGGACTCACCCCGTAGGCTAACGATCAGAACGCGGGAAGATCAAACTGAAAGTCAGCTTTAGTTTTATTTATTAAAGGTGAGGGGTTTTTTGATCCCAGATGTTGGGGTTTTTTTTTGCTCTGTGGTTATACAACACTGAGCACACTTTGGTGCTCCTGCAGTACAAAGATAATTGCGCTGTGCTGACACGGTGAGAGGGTAACTTCTGGTCACGAATGGCACAGAGCCTCACACCGGCTGCGGAAACGCATAAACTCACCCGGCTACCGATTTTGGTGGGGCTGACGTGTAAATGGAGGTACTGCGCATCTCTGAAAGGACATCAAACCTCCGTGAGACAGGCAAGCCGCGACGCGGGGCACGTTTGCACGCCCTGCTAGAGGAAGGCTGCGAGAAGACGAGCAAGGAGAAGGGAGCAGGAGCTGCCGGGGGATGAACACTGTCGGTCTAATCCTGACCTAACGATCCTTACCGGGGGCCTGCAGGGGCTGGAGAGCGTTCCCAGAGCTCAGCAGACCTCTGGCCTGCCTCACCCCGTGCCCCCTCTGCAGCCACGGCCCAGTTTTCACATTTCAAAGACAAAAATCCCCCTTCCTCCAACAAACACCACTGTCACCGCTGCCCCCAAACTCCTCGTGAACGCGATGCACATTGGGGAAAATCCTGCTTCTAAAACCAAGGATCTAACAGCGGAGGTCTGCTTGCAGTCGGTATTTCGCTACGCGGCCGTGTTACGAGCACGTTTCTGGCTCGTAGACATCCCTTCGGAGGCCGATGCCTACGCCCTTGTTCGTCACTGCCGTCGTGCTCGAGGTGGTGCAGCCACGCTGCGTCCGGACACCTCGAACTCCGGCTTCTCCCCGGGCAGAGCTGCAAAACGGCAGCCAGCCATCACCCAGCAGGCGAGCGGCTGAGCCAGCAAGAGCCCGTGTCGCAGGCCAGCGCTGCTTGGTTCATGCCTCCATGCAGTATTTAAAAAACACAGACTGTTTTCTGGGATCAAATGTATACCCCAGCCCTTTCACGAGGATTAATTAGCTGTTGTTGCAGGCGATGCCCAGAAAGGCTGTCGGTCGTTTTATACACGGGGAACGATGCGTCTGTCGCCTCTCCAGCATCGGTTCTGCTGCAGCGGAGCAGTGCTGCTCCCGCGGCCGGGCGCTCGGCAGAGCTCAGCACCGCTGCGCGCCTCGGCCCTGGGCGAGGGGATCGCAGCCTCCCCGCTCCGGGGTCGCTCTGCGGTCCCTGGCTGGTCCCTCGTCCCCCCTCGGCAGGGTGCAGGCCATGAGCGGGGGGGTAAGGTGGTAACTCATTAACTGGATAGGGCTGGAAATCAATGAGTGACTCACAGGGCTCAGGCAGCGGGCGATACAGCTGGAGGAAAGCCTCACGCCGAAGCCCATCTCGGGTGGGCTGGGGGTTTATTTGGGGTGCAGCAGCGGCTGGGCAGAAAAAGCGAGATAGGGCAGCGCGGGAAGAGCTTGCGGGGCGGGGAGAGGCGGGGAGGGGG